TAAAAGATAACAAAGATCTAATTAGAGGAATCAATGAAAGAGCTGGGACAGATAATCAGCCATGCTTACTTTTCAATTGTAGATCTAAACTTAATACTCAATTCAAATGCATTCTGGCTGGATGCGGATGATACCTGAAAATTTTGAACAAAAGAGATGATTTTACTAATATCTAGACTATTGACTTTGAAAGTGAAATAAAAACAATTATTCTTCGAGATTTTTAGGTTTTAAGAAATGCTCTTGTAGGATTATCTGATAATAGATTATTCTTTCTTAAGGATACTGATAACTTCAAAAGCCTTGACATTTCATTTGGCTTTAAGCTACCGGACAATGAAGCCAAGATTAATCATGCATGTGCATTGAGTGACGGTTTCTATATAATTTGGGTATTTGTTGCTACAAGCAAAGGCATTTACTATTTCCTAGGAGGAGAAATAGGATAATCTAATATTGCATATCATTTTCAAGATAATAAGAATGAGAAAGTTTAAATAAGCAAAATTGACTTACTAGGAAATCATTTCTTTTATTCTGTTGAGTCTCTGAAAGGCAATAATATCGCCGTTTCAAAGCTTGGTTTTATTCAGATTTACAATGTATAAGATAATTTGATTTTAAAAGAGATTGATACAAACGGTTAATGGTCAATACTTTAGCAGATGACTGTATTTGTCTTAATTAAGACTCAGTCTAAGTTAATGTTAATGCACTTTGCAAGTTTCGAAACAATCGATCTTGCAAAATCAATTCATATTGGTGATTACCCTTCTCAATCATTAATGAGTATTGCATAGGAAAATATGGGAGAGCCTCTTAGAATCTTAGATATTTAACTAAAGAGAGATAGATTTGATCCAAATAGTTATATTTCAAGCATCAGAGAATTAAATTTCAGTGTCAAGTTGATGAAAGACATACATAAAATAATATAAAATGTCCATTATTGATGATAATTATTTATTAAATAATATACCCATTTAGATATTTATCTTTACTAATGGGGTTTTGGGGTTTTGGGGTTTT